GGGGCAGCCGTTGTAACTATACTTGAGACCTTAGAACTTATATCTCGAAGTGGGTGGCACATTTACGTTGTAGATGTCTAGAAAATGCGCAAAGAGCCCGTTGCGGGTTATTGTCACAGGTACATTTTTATTACAAAACCCAATGGAGTTTTTTGAAAGCAGTCACTACATCTCTCAGATTATTTCAAATGATAATATAAAACTTTCAGGGAATATTTATAAAACTTCTAAGTTTTTAAAAGCGTATTTCTCATAAACTTTCATTTGAATTTAAAGTATTTAAAAAATATAATTTGATACCTTTAGTTTAATACGTTAATGCTAAAATACCTTAGCTAGTTTTTCAGACTGCACTAACTGTTATCTGAAGACATCATTCTCTAATACTGATGCGGCGCGGAAGGCGGTGTTGGAAATACAACAAAAGCTCCTTATTCGCGTTTCCTTCATCCGAGTTTTCACTATTCGCGGATTAAAAAAAATTGCGACCAAATTTCTATATTCGCGGCGAACGATTTCTTTATTCGCGGATCTGATCGGTACATTGGTACACACATCAAAGGGTTCTATTACGTATCGACCGAATATCCTTTGTAAACTCTTCGTCAAATGGACTATTCAAAAAGTAAAATAGACCTCATTACAACTATGCCTAAACTGTGTTGTTAAGCCTGATTGATAAAGATTAATCTAAATATATAGTTAAAAACTTGAACTAAATTCAATTTTATATAAATACTTGTTTTTTTTATCACTTATAAGCGTGTACCCTATAATCCCACATACATATACATATATGTAAATTGCCGTTCAATTTATGTATTCGCCGCATATTTACGGAACATATAACGCGCGAATAAAGAGCTTTTACTGTACTCACACACGGAGGCACTTTTTTTTATTTATTGCCTTTGTAGGCAGACGAGCGTACGGCCCACCTGATGGTAAGTGGTTACCGTCGCCTATGGACTTCAGCAATGCCAGGAGCAGAGCCAAACCATACTCGTACATGCTTCGACTTGAAGAAATTGTAAAGCCGTAAATAGCAGGCACTCTCTAAAGTCGTCAATAACCTTAAGCAGCTGGTTGACTTGCTGTAGGAGCCGCAGAGACCAGACCGAGAACCCTCAGGTAAAAGTGTAACCTTGTTGTGCGGAGACCCGTCGTTCAAGAATTTAAGATTTAAAAAGATTTCACTGTCTCGTATTCGTCTACAGAACTCTAAAAGGAAAACATAAATACAAACTGCTCAGAATTACTAACTCATTAAGCTGTGAGTCGTCTGAGTGTTAATATTTTTACTTAATAAATCATTTTAACTACAGTATTTTTTAAGCGTGTTGTAACAGCCAAGGGCATTTGAATTCGCATTTCGCATTTGAGGACTGACGTTTGATCTACGCAGTGAGTATATTTAATTATTGTTTTATCGGTAACCGAAATTTAAACTTAACTTAAGAAATATGTGTACTGCACATAAGTTTTTAATTCTTTCTTTCTTTCTTTTGGTGGATTTAAGGCCCGCCTGACGTTAGGCAGTTACCGGAACCCATAGACACTCGTGAACACTTGTGAGTGTGGCTGCTCACCTCGAGACACCTAAATTCTCACATTTGTATCGGCATCCTCTTACGGAAGTAACCAACTATTCAGTTTAGATATCCCCTTCAAACTTCAAGGGTAATTAGTTGTTGTGCGGCAGAAATAAGAACGAATCTTTTTGTTTATCTTTGATTTTCATTGAAACCACATTTCGACGTGAATTTGTTAGAAATATGTATTCAATATTAGTTCATAAAAGTAGATATAAGTATATTTAATTCAACTAATAAATATGAGTAGGAATGAAATGCGTCTATATTCCATTTCTCGCACCGATTCCGACGTAAACTAGCTGATGTTGGTCACGGATATCTTGTTAATTTCAATTTATTACATGGTTAGTGACGCAGCTTTGTAGAGCGCTTTGAGGACAATGAAGCGGTACTTTTGCATTTTTTTAAACGTGCTTTAGTATTCGTAAACCTTTCAGTTAATTTTTCCTAATTAAAGCTAAGAAATATATTATTATTCAAAGTTATTCAGTACTAAAAGTTATAACACCTTTTTTTTATTGTACACACACACAGTTAATAAAATATAATAATTGTGAAAAGTTATAAAATGGCGAGCTTAACTCAACAATTGAGTTATCTACCAGCTAACCGTTTTTAAAGAGGGTGAGCTTTACATAGGTGGGTAGAAAAGTACAATCTAATCAATTTACTTATTGATATACACAATAACAATAATAGTAACAATAATAAATAAAAACACTAATATATAATATATCAGACTATAAACATACACAAGTACACATATAATTAACATAAACATATACATAAACGTACATATATAATGAAATACATAAAATAAATTTTTTTTCACCTTCTCATTGTTGTTATCAAGTGGACGTGGGATTATGGAATCGCTAGCTTCTGAAGCCCGCGTGGGTTTGAGATCTCCCGAAGTTTCAAGCATCATCAATATTTTCCTACATAATCGTTAATATAAAAAAATTCATGTCGGAAACTTTCTAAGTAATAACGAGTCGTACGTTCGTTAGTAATGTTCACTCCGCATGTGACACCTCATTTAATGTATACCACCATAGGTACCACGACGGAACCCTTATTTCCATCAATATTCACATTTTTATCGTGTCCATATTGATGAACAAGATAAAAATGTAGAGACTGTCCACAGTGCGTTTCCAGAAGTCTTTTTTGCCACGTACCATCCGGCTATGGAATAAGCCCCCTCCACGGTGTTTCCCGAGCACTATGACATGTCCTTCTTCAAACGAGGCTTGTGGAGAGTATGAAGTGGTATGCAGCGGCTTGGCTCTGCCCCTGGCATTGCTGAAGTCCATGGGCGACGGTAACCACTCACCATCAGGTGGACCGTATGCTCGTCTGCCAACAAGGGCAATAAAAAAAAAAACAATAATCAATGAACAAATGATTTGAAAATGAATTCCAAATCTTTCAATGAAACTCACTTCAATTTAGACTTTATTCTATTATACTATTTCATACGTGTAATAAAAAACCTTTTAAATGGCCAGTATTGTAATAGGGCAACTTCGTCGGTAAAAAAACTCTATTATACCGAACCATTATTATTCTCAAATACAAATCTTCAATTCAATATAAATGGTAATACTATTTATTGTCACATGCAAAACGTTTATTTAAATTAGTTAATTGCTAATAATGAAATTAAGATGGAGGATAATAATTTGATAAAAGTATTCGACGAAAATTAAATTAAATTTACCAGTTGATAGTAGCATTCATTAAAACAATGAAAATAAAATAGTTTAAATATTATTAATAATAATTTAGATATTAAACAATAAAATAAATTAAATATTTATCATAACTTCGTAAACTTCGATATAATAGTCGTGACAATAGATCGGTCTGGCATCGAGCTTTGTTGGTTGAGTCCACCATTCCACATGACGAGGAGCTTATGCTTAAGCTGGAGGCAGAAAAGGATTAGTAGATAGAATATTTAGCCCTGATCCACGAGACTACCATGTGCCATGTGGCATGTTGATTCAACTATCATTGTCAATAGTTGTACAACAAGTAAGCTAGGGGCTTGATGCCAATACCGGTCATTCATAGTATGGCGCGTATTGTGAGAAGGTTCCTCACTCTAGGGCCCTGGTGGAACTCGGTGGCCGAATATGTTAAAGGGTGGGGCTGAAGATGTTAAAGGACCACCTACAAAACGACTCCCCTGCACTCTCACTCGACGCCTGATCCTGATTCCGCGGTTAACATTAAAACCAGACACGCGACCCTCCCATAGGATGTCAGGTCGATGGAATCATTGACGTATTTGTTAAAAAATAATGAGGTGATTTGACAAGAGCTTGAAAATAAATACATCCAAATACGGGAAGTATTCTAAATTTTAACTAACTAAGGAAAAGCAAGGTACAAATATGTATCAAAAACGTGGCATAACAAATCTACTGTCAGCTAGATATGACCCAAAGTAGGCCGTCTTGAAAGTTCCCATATGCGCAGATTTCTTTCGGTATTTTCCCAAAAGCACTACACAATAATGTGAGATTTTTTTTTTAATTAATTGTATGTAACTTGATGTGGTGGACTTTTGAATATATTAATTGGCTATTAAAATTGCCTGTATATTCAACGTGACCTGCTAATTAGCTCACGTTGGACAACCGTCGCATGATGTGTGTACCGTGTAGCACACAATTAAAGCTAAACCTTAAAATACATTATAACAGCTAATTAAACATGCTCAACCACACCGCGACACGCGTTATACATACAATTAGAGGACAGAAATAATATATCCACCATTATATTGTAAGGAACGTTGTGTACTTATAACACTTATTTTCATGTTAGTCGCGCGCGCATGGCCTATGTTACAAGTCAGATTTTTGACTTGTTGTTCCTTCTTGTGTATCTTATTTTTAGCTTGTATTGTGTATTGTGAGCCTTGTACAGAAATTACAATTTACATATATGTATATAAGGACATGGAGTATTTCAGAATGAATAAATATATTAATTAAAGACTTAATTGCGTTCTCTGCTATATAACAAGAAAACAACATTTAAATCACATAATCTCTCATAATCTTTAAATCACATAATAAGTAAACAGTATTAATAAATTATACAAAACAAACCTCTCTTTTAACAGAATGACACTGAAGAAAAATCCTTTTTAAAAACTAAAGAATTTTATATAAAAAAGGTTTTTCTTTGCGTATATATTTCATTACATTAGTTATATGTACGTATTACAATCGAGCTATCGCGAATCACGATTATTGCTAATTACACGCGGCGTCTTACCTATCAGCCGAGGACAGTTTTGTCGGATCACTGAAGTATGAAACCTAGGTCTATGCTTCGGATGGTGAACAATTGTGACAAACAACACAACGATTAAAATTTTTTACAGATCATCTCACAAATCTTTACTGACATTGAAACTTAGCAAGCATGGTTGTGAAAACGCGAAGGAACAGCATCAAAGCGAAAATGAAAAGCAGAAGTAAGTCTCTCTTCCCAGCTATTTATTCCAGATGGTGGTGGGATCAGCTTTCCCTATTCTACTCCTCCACTTCGCTCTATCTTCGACATCCTCGTCAGCAACATTGCATTCCCTTTTGTCCTTCAGCACTACATCCTTCCACCTTATCTTGTATCTACCTCTAGGTCTCCGACCGGGGAGGTCAAGCAGTAGTGCCAAATTTCTGATGTAGTCAGGTGGCCAACTGTATTTTGTATGAAGGACTGTCACACCCTTTCTAACTCAAACCCATCACTGGCTCATATCAGAAATAAAGTGCTATCAAACAGCATGGACTAAAAACAAGCCCTCCTTAATCTAATTTACATTTGTTTTAGGAAATATACTGGCGAGTGTAGTCTTCGGTGTAGCATTTTTAATTATACCAGCAATAGTTATTTTCATTGACCCTATATTTTTGGTGGCACAATATGTAAGTGAAAGCAAAGTACTTAATTTTTTTTTATGTGGGTGGACGATCTCACGGCCTTCCTGGTGTTAAGTGGTTACCAAAGCCCATAGACATCTACAACGTAAATGCCGATACCTACCTTGAGATATTAGTTCTAAGTTCTCAGTATAGTTCCAACGGCTGCCCCACCCTTCAAGCCGAAACGCATTAACGACTGCTTCACGGCAGAAATAGGCAGGGTTATGGTACCTACCCGTGCGGACTCACAAGTCGTCCTACCATCAATAGTAACGAAAATTATAATTTTTCCAAAAACCAGAACGTATTTACACGATTATTTAGTGAGAGAGTGTGCTACGCCATTAAGCCCTAGATTGAAATCACACTGATATGTTTCCTTTTTTACGGTTCTCCAAATCATAAGTACATAAGCTCCATCAACACCGTAGCACTATATTCAAGACTAATTTAGACAAATAATCTTATCTTTGTGACTATCAAAATCTACGATTACGTATTTGAGTTCGTCATCACAAAAAATTATATGTAACAGTTAAACATTTTATCCCACAGCAATTAAAATTGACGAAGAATAGCTTGCTCTCCTATTTTTTGAAAAAGGAGTTAAAAGGAGCTCTCCTGGAGGTCTACCTCTTCAACGTGACCAACGCCGAGAGGTTCCTCGATGGAGCAGACAAGAAGATGAAAATGAAAGAAATCGGCCCATTTGTTTACCAGTAAGCGAATTCATCTTTTTTGATGAACTCAAAATCCATTCTCATAAATTACAGTACTAGCTGTACCCGTTCGCTTCGCTGGCCATTTAAAATTAACACTATTATTTCTCACTTCCACAATGATTCTCATCATTAACGCCCCCGCAACTGGTGTAGGGAGTCCAACACTCATATAAATATTAGCCTATCCATTAAGTACATGTATTTTCTACGTGGATACCAAGTTTCAAGTCAATCGGATGCATGGTTCAGTAGATATAACGGAACATCCGTAAAATCATGGTGGTAGGACCTCTTGAGAGTCCGCACGGGTAGGTACCACCACCCGGCCTATTTCCGCCGTGAAGCACTAATGCGTTTCGGGTCGAAGGGTGGGGTAACGTTGTAACTATACTGAGACCTTAGAGCTTATATCTCGAGGTGGGTGGCGCATTTACGTTGTAGATGTCTATGGTCTCCAGTAACCACTTAACACCAGGTGGGCTGTGAGCTCGTCCATCCATCCAAACAATAAGAAAAAAAAACCACTGTAGATTTATATATTAGTATAGGTTCACTTAAAATCAGAAGGCACGATGGCTTTACAATGGATGGATTAAAATGAACCACAAAATCTAGATTTATCGATTAAAATCAGATTTTTGTACATACGATAATTACCATACTCGTAGGAGCTAATGAGTTACGAGATACGAGCTAGCTAACGAACAAATCAATGGAAGCTCTTTGACTTCGTTGGATCTGGTGACAACCATTTCTTGCAAGCTCTTGACTAGTTTACCTTGTACGCTAATTAAAAGGTTAGAACAATGTAGTTGCGGTTAGTTTAATTGTTTCTGAGGTTTTCACGAATAACTTAATACATTAAATCAAGTCAGGTTATTTTAGATAATATGTAATAGGGATTACTGATCAGAAGACATAGGTATGCGATGTCTTTTTTGACTTTTTTTATTTATTGCTAACTATGATACGATCCACATGGTGTTAAATGGTTACCGGAGCCCATAGACATGTATAACGTAAATTCCGCCACCTACCTTGATACAATAGTTCTGAGATCTCAGTTCTTACAATACTGTGGCTTCAAACCGAAATGTATTGCTGTTTCACGGCAGAAATGGGCAGAGTAGTAGTATCTACCCGTGCGGACTCAGAAGACGTCCTACCAGCATTTAATACAAGAAAATTAAGTAGTATAATATTTTCTACGTAATAAGGTTTATCTTGTTTATAATTAAATTTAAAAAGAACATTGAATTTTCAGAGAATACAGAAGTAATGAAGACATAGATTTTGATAATGAAGCACCAGTAATCAGGTTTACACCGAAGTTGAGAACTGTTTTCATGCCTGATAAGTCAGTAGGTGATCCGAAGGATATTACACTGAACGTGCCTAACATCTCCTTACTGGTATGTACTCTCCTTACTGTATTTATCCTGGAAAATATACGATAGTCGATTTTATTATTTTTACTTTTTTACTGACGTCTCTTACCTCATGTCCTAAGTTTTCTGTTTTATTTTAAAGACAATTGTTGAACTTCTCTCTTTTGTTCATCAACGTGTATCCACACGAGGCTAATTGTAGTTCTTTTCATATGCACTCCATTTTCGGTCTCTTGCCTTTCGCATCAACTATTAATCTGATATCGATTGTTGAACTACATAATACATATATTCAAAAATTATCTAGTGAAATCATTATTTGAATAAAGGATAATATGTTTTATAAAATCACTAGTTGACCCGGCAGACTTCGTAGTGCCTCAATCGATAAATAAAAGACTTAAACTTTTGTACAAAATAAAGTTAAAACAAACAAAAAGAATCCGAATCCGTCCGACCGGGGACACATCAAAGGAACAACAAAATTGTTATTTTTATTTAATTCCAAGCATTTTCATATTTATCTACCTTGTAAACCTTCTCTGGACTTCCACAAATAATTCAAGACCAAAATTTGCCAAATCGGTCCAGCCGTTCTCGAGTTTTAACGAGACTAACGAACAGCGATTCATTTTTATATATATAGATAACAGATTGAAACTGATTTGCACTGTTTTTGTTCATTATTTACCAACTCTAGTATAATAGCTAAGAGTATCTTCTATTTATTTAGATTAATGTTGAATTATTCTCTTTTAGACTGTGTCGACTTTAATGGAACCATACCCCTTCGTGGTCCGACAGCTCTATAACATCCTGGTGAATCAGGTTGATACCGAGGGGATCGTGGCGAGGGACGTCCACAGCTGCCTCTGGGGTTTCCGCGACCCTATTGTGTCTATAGCCAAAACTCTTGCTCCAGGCTTGATATACTATGACAGTATAGGAATCTTAGAAAAGGTATGCTGTAAGAAATGATTTATGAGAAGACTCAAGGTCACGCAAAGAGCAATGGAGAGGGTTATGCTCGGAGTTTCCCTGTGAGATCAAATCAGAAATGAGGAGGTTCGCAAGAAAACTATGGTAACCGACATAGCCCAAAGAATTGCGATGTATAAGTGGCAGTGGATAGGGCACATTGCTCGTAGAACGGATGGCCGGTGGGGCCAGAAAGTTTTTCAGTGGCGACCGCATACCGGAAGACGTAGCGTGGGTGAGCCGCCCACAACATGGACCGACGACCTATTGAGGTTCACGGGGATCCGCTGGATGCAAGCAGCGCAGCTACGATCTTTGTGGCGAAGCTTGGGGGAGACCTATGTCCAGCTGTGGAAGTCTCTGGGCTGATAGAATAGAGAAAAAAATGCTTTGTACTTTTGTTAGTGTGCATTTATGTATTTTGCCTACAATACAAATCAGAACCGAATGATTGGGGAAATTTAAAACATGGATTCAAATATGTTAACTGGGATGGACAAATTCAATAAACTACTGTGATCTATTTTACTAAGCTAGACCTGTTTTATGGATTTAATCAAATTAAGCATAACAAATTGCGTTCTTTGACGATTGAATAGTGAAAGCGCGAACTTTTTACCTTACTGAAAATGCATAGTTACACGATTTACAAGTGCACAATCACGTTAGTTTTATTTATGTGAGGAAGATGCCAAAACAAGCTCGAATTTCAGTTACCGCCCCTGCGCTTGAAACAGTCTTAACGAATTGGTATCAAGTATATGATAAGTAATATTGTAATAAAACAAAAAAATCATGGTTCCTTAAAATCTCTTTAAACTATAGGAAGAGCACCCTTAGAAATAATGCATCTTTAGAAAAATAATTCAAAGAACTTTGCAAGCACATCCCACGTAATGCTGAGGCTACCTCTGTTGCTCACCTGCTAACTTAAGCTGATGATAGTGAGAGTGTTGATTCTTGAAAATCATTTAAAGCCAAACTGAAAAAGCTCCGGTTTCACTACACATCAACAACATAATTTTTATCTATGTTATTAATACCTGTTTTCCAGTTGTACGATCCATATGTTAAATACAGAATTGAAATGGGTAGAGAAGGAGTAGACAAATTCAAAGTATTAAATGTTCAGAGAACACGCAAAGAGAAGATGTTTGATTCAAACGATCCTGTTAATAAGTGAGTTTTATTTGTTATTTTTTATCGAGTGAAATCTAAGAAAAGCAATATTTATCAGATTTGAATTTTTGTTTGTGATCATTAATGTTTTTTTTTTATTGCCTTTTTATTTATTTATTGATGCACAAAACAAATTACAATCATTACAGTACATATTAGCTAAATCGTAGGTACAAGTAGTACCTAGATCTAATCTGGGTTGCAATCTAAATAGTGTATGTGCACTCAGCAAATCCATTTGAATGTACATAGCTTTGGCTATTGAAAACAACTGAAATTACAAATATTGATAACTAGCCATTGTTAAATGGGATATCCTTCACACATCAGACAAATCCCCTGAGTCTAGATTCAAAGATATAAAGGTTACCGTGACATTTAGCCAAATCATTATACTGCCTGACCATTCTTGCCATAGGGTTATAGTTTTGATTGATTTGATTTGTATTCCTCAGTTCTGAGGTTTATAGGTATATTATTTTTCTATGTCCGCAACGCAAAGAGGTTTACCCAATGCGAATTTCGGGCTCTGAAGTGGGTGTTGATAGAAATATTCGACAGCAGTTCCATGGAATCTATATGGGAGTGTAAAATTTTGTACAAAATTATTAAATCAAAATACCTACGGTGAGCTTTGTAGGCAGACGATTATAAGGCCCACCTGATGGTAAGTGGTCACCCGTCGCTCATGGACGTCTTACTGGTGGTAGGACCTCTTGTGAGTCCGCGCGGGTAGGTACCACCGCCCTGCCTATTTCTGCCGTGAAGCAGTAATGCGTTTCGGTTTGAAGGGCGGGGCAGGCGTTGTAACTATGTAGGTAGCGGCCTCCCCCCGGTGAAGGTCAAGGGGCGACCTGAGGGAGTGACGCCGCGCGGCGCGCTACCAGCACTCTAGCGCGCTGCCGTGGAGTAAATAGAGCGACCGGTCGACGGTGTATCGCGTCCCGACCCGGCAGGCTGGTTCTGGTCCAGCGGGGTATTCCGGGACACCAGCGGCACCGTCCGGGCGGTCCGACGGGCTGCCGTACCGAGACGGCTGACGTTTCAGAGCCTTCGATTCGCCTCGAAGGCTCCGTCGGCTGGGCGTCCTTGGGGTGAGCCGCGCCGTCTGGTTGTAGTGTTGACCGCGGTAGCCCCCCTACCTCATCCGGGTTCTGACCTCGGAGGGGATCGGACGTCGGATGTAAGAGTGCAGGGGAGTCGTTTAGTGGGTGGGCCCTAAAATCCTTGGGCCCGCGGTATGCTCACAAAACCATGCAGATCGTAGAGTCTCACATACCCCGCGCGCCCCTTTTGCGTGGGGACATCGTAGGAGGTTCGGCCCTCCACCCAAAAAAAAAAGAAAAGGCGTTGTAGCTATACTTGAGACCTTAGAACTTATATCTCAAGGTGGGTGGCGCATTTACATCGTAGATGTCTATGGGCTCCAGTAACCACTTAACACCAGGTGGGTTGTGAGCTGGTCCACGTATCTAGCGATAAAAAAAAAAACAGCAATTCCATTGGCAGAGCCAAGCTACCATGAAGTACTCTCCGCAAGCCTCGTTTGAAGAAGGCATCTATGAGCTATCGACTCACCTCCCGACCGAGACCGTGTTCGCTCACCAATCCCGATGAAGCTGGAAAGGCCTCTGGGACACCAGAAATCCTTCCATCCCAAAAAAAAGGGCTCTGGAAACAGTAAAATAGGGCTGTAGACTTCATCAGAGTTAAGGGATGGTTATTGAATGTTATAAATGCATTGGATTAACGACCTTCCGAAACTATAGAGGAATTTTGATCGTTTTGTCGCATCGGTTAACCCAGACGTCGGCAAAGTGTGGCTCTTTGAACTCTCGAGTGTGGCTCTGGCACAAATATCTTATGGGCTTGCCCGGCCTCTAATATTATCCGGCTGTAGACGAAAAAGCCGGTTAGTATGTACGGTCATTTAATATCAGCACCCCTAACTGATGTCGATTATTATATACTTATATATTAATCGAAGCAGTATACAATATTGCATTTATTTTATGATTTGCAATAATTAATATGCAATAAATGTTTACCAACCACTGAGTTAAGCTTTCAATTTTATACCTGTTAATCGGGATTTTTTATAGAAAGGGAAAGCAGTGTGGTACTATCTCTTATAAATTAACTGACTAACGCAATTTCCTATCCTCTTCGTACATTTGTAATTAATTGCCTTTATCTCAACTATTCAGGTATTTTGAATTTAATGACACATATGAAGGTGCAGCCTTTCCCCCACTGATGACTCCACAAACCCCAGTTAACTTGTACCGCCTGGGAATCTGCAAAAGCTTCCAAATGAAGTACCAAAGCCAAGAGGACCTAAAGCTGGGAGCCAAATTATTTGTGTACGGGTACAGCAATAGTACATTTGAGAACACCAAGATATGCGATAGTAAGGGATGGTGCCCCTTTGGCCTTATGGATTTGTCGTCTTGTTTTTACCGTGAGTATTGGTGTGGTTTCTGGTTTTATTATCACCAATATCAGTCCACGAGTCTACGTAATCACACATAGAATTAGGTTTTATATTATGTTTTGGAATATATTTTTTGATTGGTTAAAATAAAATTGGGCAAATAAAAATAAAAGTGAATAATGGGAGATTAGTATAAATAAAATTATTTTCTAATACAGATCTTCCAATGGCGTTATCGAAATCACATTTTCTCGACGCTGATCCTTTACTGCTTGAAAAAGTTGAAGGCCTGAAACCAAACAGAGCCGATCATGACAGTAGCTTGTTGGTAGATCCCGTAAGTACATAGTTTCCGAACTATATTTGACCACTCTACAACTTGTATCTTTTTTTTTATTGCTTAGATGGGTGGACGAACTCACAGCCCACCTGGTGTTAAATGGTTACTGGAGCCCATAGACATCTACAACGTAAATCCGCCACCCATCTTGAGATATAAGTTCTAAGGTCTCACTCAGTATAGTAACAACGGTGGCCCACCCTTCAAAACTTCAACCTTCAAACCTATCGTTACCTTTTCAATTATTCGACATTTTGGTCGAGTTGTTGATGACCCTGGGCTACGAGGTTCGGCCGCGTTAACTAAGGTAGGTATGCGGTTTCGGTACCGATAATAAGAAGGTTATCGTGGGGCCATAGAGCTTGCTAAGAAAACAATTCATTGAAATCGGCAAACTCAACATTATGTATATTTCATTTCACCACAGTAGGAACCTATACTCGTAGTATCTTCAGGTCTGAAAGTTTGGTTGATTTGAGTTCTTCTCTTCAGGATAATATTGTTCCAAATGTTAGAAACTGTAGAAATATAATAAACAAAAAACAGACGATAGTTATCACAATATTCAAATGGTAAGATTAGCATCTTAGTTGTCCGTGGTGACCAAGAAAACTGTAAATTATTCGAAAACCTCGGATATATGATAACGAGGGGTGAAAGGTTAATTGATTTAAGCAATATTTTTGCAACTTTAAAGGAGTTTATAATTTGGAAAAAAAAATCATAAAAAAAAACTTCTTCAGCTACTTCAAGGGTTCGTCGTGGCCTAAGGGATAATACGTCTGGTGCATTCGTATCGAGTGATGCACCTGTGTTCGAATCCCGCAGGCGGGTACCAAATTGCTCGACGAAAAGATTATAAATCGGCGTCGATTGGCTGATCTAATATGTCGGTTGCTGCAGCTTGACTGCCTAGTACGCGGGGAGCCTAATACTTTCCTTACTCTAAAACTACTTACCTCTAAAAACTTGTTTAGATTGTAGCTAATCAACTGTCCTACATTTCAGAAGGCAGGTCTAACAATAGGGACGACTCTTGAGCTGCAGCTCAATATAATGACGACGGACTTGACGTTCAACCACCAGTCCCGGCTGTTCTCCGACACAATAGTGCCTATAGCGCGAGCCAAAATCGTGAGTATTTATACATTCATGAGCCTAACATCGCCCACATTACACCCTTCATTATTAATATATTCCTTTTAATACTGTATAAACTATTGTATTTATCTATGTATGTATATGTGTATGTGTTTATAACTTAATATAAATTTCATTGCACCTACCACTATTTACTACCTTTGGTTGACTGGTAGAGAATGCCTTAGGTATTAAGTCCACAATGTAAATTTTACATGAAGTGTAATAAATAAATAAATAAATAAACCTAAAGTGTTCGGCATTGGACTGAACAGTTTGCGAAAAGTCGCTTTTGTTAAAGTTACTTGCTCTAAATAAATGTTCTATTGTCCAAAAACATCACTAACAGCTAACCGAAATTATAGAAGATGCACTTTTGTGTGGGATACACGAAGACGGAAAGCAAACTGTCTTCTCCCTTTCGATAGTTAAAGAAGTAGCCCTTAAAACATTGTATGATTAAAGTGGTCGTTGACTCGTTAATTGCTGGACATGACAAATGAATTTGACTAATCAAGCGAACAACTACCGAGCGGCAGCAGTGCATACTAACACGTGCGTACTGACAAATACCAATTAATTTCAAACTACACTAGCAGCAGATCCATGTGTGAAGTTTGTGTTCAGCACGAGTGCGTGGCACGCGTGGCATCGCGTTCTCCGGGAGTGTTCGAACAAAAATCAATTTCATTACGATCAGTGACTTACCTGCTAATAATTACGTACACAATGAATTGGTTGTAACATCTTTTTCATAACACGACGATGTGGATTTGTTTCATAAAATGTGCAGCTACATAATATACTAGTTTTGTAAATAAATACTAGTTTCAGCATGAGCACATGTGGTTAAATGAGGAGGCTAGTCGTCTTGCCTAGTTGATTACGAGTAGTCTGCTGTTAACGAGATAGCAGTCTAAGATTTTCAGCTTCTAAAGCAAATTCTCTTTTTTCAGACCTTACCGGAACCACCAGAAGAAACGAGGTACTCTCTAAAGTTAATGTACGAAACCGGCCCGCAAATATTGCTTATTCTGGAAATAATCTCGTGCTCTCTAGGCATTTTACTTTTGTTGAATTCTGGAAGGCTGGCCTGGCGGGAGCGTCGTAGAGAACTAGGCCCAAAGACGTTCACACCGCTTCAAGGAAAAATTAGCGCACAACCACTACTAAGTTCCTGAGTTAAATATATGAAAGAAACGTTGTGTAAGTCATGTTTAGTTAGACCTGAGCAATCAAGCTTGGTTGAGATAAACCTGGCCTTAGATAGTGCCTCAAGTAAGCGGTCTTCTCGTGTGTAATAAGACCAAGAACGTACATATCAGTGACAACTAATGTAATCAGATCTAGAGCACCAGATATCGAAACATGTGATAACAGTAACCCAGTGAATCCAGATCCATTCATATGATCCAACTAACTTATGTGTTTCATTCTTGGTAAATAACGAAGACTTAACATATCCGTTCCAACACCCTTCGCCCACAACTACTTCAAACTAGAAAGCGGTTGATATGGAATTTGTCTTTCTAGAGTATTGACCCCAATTTAATAGGTGTGCGGATAAGCTCAAGTTAAACCCAATTTGTCAAGTAGTTATCTGTTATTGTAGACAGTATCCCCCTTGAAACATGAAGTCGGAGTCTTAAGAGTTTTTTTTTATTGCTTAGATGAGAGGACGAGCTCACGGCCCACTTTGTGTTAAATGGTTATCGGAGCCCATAGACATCTACAATGTAAAGCCGCCACCCACCTTGAGACATGAGTTGTAAGGTCTCACTATTAACAGTACAACGGCTGCGCCGCCTTTCAAACCCAAAAGGCATTACTGCGTCACGGCAGAAATAGGCAGGGTGGTGGTACCTACCTGTGTGGACTGATAAGACGTCCTACCGCCAGTAAATACGCAATTTCGGGTTGGATTTTTACTACACGATGTTATTCCTTCACCATGGAAGTCAATCGTGAACATTTGTTAAGTACGTTTTTTATTAGAAAAATTGGTACATACCTCCTGGCGGGATTCGAACACCGTTGTATCGCTACATACGAATGCACACACAAAGAGTGTTCTCATAGGGGTTTACACACACTGCGCTTAGCAGCTGCAGAAAGAGGCGAACACAGAAGAAACCCTACCATCCGTATTTTTGTTTCTACAGGTTTGAAATTTATTACTTCCCTTTCCCTCTCTCCCTCCTGTTCTACTCAGCATAATTCTGTGCTGCATGAGTAGTCACAAGTATCCAAGTTGAGGTTTCGGTCCACCGTTGCCAACCACGGTTAGCCGTAGATATTTCAGTTAATTTATAATATACTCATAGGTTTATTTGTAAGGTTTTTTAAAGTATAGGATATAGTTAATTTATTGTTAGAGTACAAACCTAAGTATGCTTGGAATAAACAATTATTTATGGATATTTTTGTTTTTATTTAGTGTAAAAATTACCCAGTAGCCTCTCTGTAAAAATAGGAAACGACTTGTTGTTGCTGAATGTTATGGCATCGATGCTCGGTGACGACGAGTTGTAGAAGGCGATGCTCAACTTCTGCGAGTGCACCATCTCGCAGAAGGAGGTGGCGGGGCCGCATGAGAGACGCACAGGCCCGCCGCCGTCGAGCCGGGGCCAGGGAGGCAGATTTTGCCCAAGCCCTGGCCCTCTAAGTGTTTCGGGTCCCCCTCACATGTCGGTCTGGGGACTGGCGAAGGGGGCCTAAAAAGACGACGTGCAAGTTGCTTTTCACGTAAGAGCATCCGGGTGATGGAAGGCCAGCTATCCTCGACCAACGCTAGTTTTGACCCAGCGGGGTGTTCCGTAGGATAATCCATTCTAACCGGTCCATCTAGGCGGGCTTCGGATAGCCTCCTGACCGAGAGGGCTGGTTGTTGTGGCGCTGACCACCACCGGTCCGGCGTCCTGAGGGCGAGGGTGATGGGAGAGATGTACTCTGCACTCAGCGCTTCACTTTCCCCCTTTGCCTTTTTATGAGTTCTATCTCATGCGAGGTTTGGTCGTTGGTTGTTGAGCGATAGGAGGTTTTAGTTGTGGTTCGACTCCGACAGCCCCGCCCGCCATGCCCAGTGCAGGGCGGAAGTCCGGCGATTTCCTCCTGACAAAAGATAAAAGCCCCTCTGTACGAAAGTATCTTTCAACTCGCCTTTTTCAAGAATGAGTCGTTGCTGACTCAAGGACCTCAGGCCAATATCTTCCAGGTTATGAGGCCAGCAACATACTTGTACTGATCTGGATCGAGATACGAGTCTGAATTTCATAGTAACTACAGTAATCCGGACTACGTGGTATGATGTTACGCGCTGGGGTTCGGGATCAATAAAAATTCTACCGAAGTATGAATTAAAACTGTATTAGAACTTAGAACACTCACAGAATACTTTAAAATTCTTAATTCCCTTCTTACGCTTCGCTTCAGATGATCCGTTTGCTGTTTCGCTTCGAGTAGTTCCGATTACTATATAACTCGTGCCATCTCTGCACGCTTTTACAGTGGATACGACATCCCTACAATGGTCGAGAACATTCCGAGTTGAGTATTTTCGATGTGTATTTCCGCCCTTGACAATAGGTGGTGTTGTACTTCTCGAGCGCTCTAGATGTTACTAAATGCCTTAGTCGCCTTTTGCAGCATCTACGCGACGAGATGAGATGGTACTACTATTATATTTACTACTATACTGTAACTAGTTTAAGTCAGCAAATCCAATACAAAGTCAAATAATTTTAATAACATCAGGAAAAAGCCAGAAGTGGGACCAGTTTTAATAATAGTTACAAACTTGTGATATTATATTAGGACTAAAATATATTAATGCAAATGATTCCCATAATACACAAAATCTGATGATCATTAGTAGACACGTCATTGATGGGGTCGACGAGCCAGACCTAGAACTCTTTATATTTTATCTGTGGTACATGCTTATGTTTCAAACTTCTCTTGAGCCAAAGGACTTGTTATGCGTATATGTTTTCACTACACCATCTCCTATGAACTGTCAAGAAGACGAACATCGTAGAAAGATAGCAAATGGGTAATTCTCTTCTATCTAGCTCGTTAATTGAGGTTGGAGTGCAATACATTAAATAAATGTGGTCGCAAAGAACGTAGTCTTGACAATTCTAGATTTCAAGCGGTGTTTGACATTATTGACGTCCATGAGCGACGGTAACCACTTACCGTCAGGTAGGCCGTATGCTCGTCTGCCTGCTAGGGCAATAAAACATAATTTGATAAGGTTGCATCGATCTTGGTCAAAGTTTAAAATTCACATCACTCGACTCACCAAAAAGTAAATAAATCCTAAGTTATTTACTCATTAATTTTCTCAATTTCATGTGGTCGTCACAGTCTGAAGCTTGTGAGCTTGATCACACATATGAATGTCCCCACCGGTTCTTCTTATTCGAGAAACTCTCCCAACGAAAATTAGTCTTAATTCTATCATGTATGAACAACTATTAAAACATTGATATAAGGAAAGTAAATAATGCAAATAATTTATTGCATCGACAAGTGAAATTGTCGTAACTCATCCGATTTAAAACTTGCTATAAATTCTGAAATTTATTGTGCCGGCAACGATTTAAAACTGAGCTCTTGCCGTTTCTTAACCTAGTTGAATATGTGTTTGTAACGTATAGTGTATCTCCATAATTACTCAGTCAGTGACTTTTGGGAAGGTGTTCCATAACAGAAGATTGTCTTCTGTCGCTCAATCCTTGGATGAGTCTCGAATGAGGTTAGGAGCAAGGTATTGTATCTCTCTTCCACTGTCGATATCAAACTTAAGCCTTTTTAACTAAGTCGTAGCTTTATTGAAGTTCATTCAGTGTGAGATATTTTGCTGTAGTAGGCGAGATTATTGCATCTACTCGCGTGTTGTGTGTACGCCCGTGAAGTGATAGTGTAAATTTTATAATGTTTTGGAATATTTTGAAGTGATAACTTCTTATGGAAGGGTAAGCCGCTTCGTTACATTACGCGTTACGGCGTCAGTCTGTCTATTAGCTTCCCTTTCTCTCACGCACACGGCAGTGGTAGGTAATGAGAGCGTATGTAGCTCTTAACTATTTATAAATCTTGTTTCAATTTATTTTACATTTTTCCTTACATTATCATAATCTATCTATCTATATATATAAAAATGAATCACTGTTCGTTAGTCTCGCTAAAACTCGAGAGCGGCTGGACCAGTTTGGTTAATTTTGGTCTCGAATTATTTGTGGAAGTCCAGGGAAGGTTTAAAAGGTAGATAAATATGAAAATGCTCGGAATTAAATAAGAAATAACAATTTTGTTTTTCCTTTGATGTGTCCCCCGTCGCACGGATTCCTTTGGTTTGTTTTAAGTTTACTTTATACAAAATTTTAGGTCTTTTATTTATCGATTGAGGCACTACGAAATCTGCCAGGTCAGCTAGTAATATACATAAAATTTAAGTAATAACCTAAGCCTTTCTCAAGTTGATATAAAGTTTAACTTAGATTAACTTAAGCCTTCGTCAAACAGAACGCGTACTTAACGTCGCGCTCTTCAAATTAGGAGTGGGTGATATAAATCGTATATAGATTCAATATCGTAGTCATCGTGGCTTAACGGATAAGACGTCCGGTGCATTCGTGTTGAAGCGATGCACCGGTGTTCGAATCCCGCAGGCGGGTACCAATTTTTCTAATGAAATACGTACTCAACAAATGTTCATGATTGACTTCCACGGTGAAGGAATAACATCGTGTAATAAAAATGAAACCCGCAAAATTATTATTTGCGTAATTACTGGTGGTAGGACCTCTTGGGAGTCCGCACGGGTAAGTACCACCACCCCGCCTATTTCCGCCGTGAAGCAGTAATGCGTTTCGGTTCGAAGGGTGGGGTAGCCGTTGTAACTATACTGAGATCTTAGAACTTATATCTCGAGGTGGGTGGCGCATTTACGTTGTAGATGTCTATGGGCTCCAGTAACCACTTAACACCAGGTGGGCTGTGAGCTCGTCCATCCACCTAAGCAATAAAAAAAAAAAAAAAAAAATATATCGCAGCAATATCGTTGAATCCGATATCGCCCCGCACGAAATCTATATATCGATATCAGCCGATACACGATATTGCTCGATGTGATGCGCATCGGCATATCGTACCGATTCGTGAATCGAAATCTATATTTCGATATCAGCCGATACACGATATTGCTCGATGTGATGCGCATCGGCATATCGTGCCGATTCGTGAATATCAGCAATATTCGTTTGGTTTGTATCGAATCGGCCAGAGTGAGTGAGCGCACGATAGGGATATCATGTGATGAATGAAACAGAAACAGGCATTATCCATACAATTATAAACCTTATATTTAAGTCCATATGTCTGTAGATTATTCTTAGCGTATCAGCAGGATACAATTAAGGAAAGAAGTTTCAACTTTCGACCCTAACTTGAATGCAGTATAGCCTATTTGCATCGTTGAATTTAATTTCACGCGCTTTGACCTTGAACTAGAATTTTTGGACAAGTGTTTATAAATACTTAAAAGTTTTTTGTGTTTGATTTTTAAAGTACACATTTTTCTATTTTTAGTTGAATCCAAATAATTGAGTTTATTTCTTGTGTTTGTATTAAACTTTTGAAATCTACACTCTTTTGGTATATTTTGTAATTTTAAATTAAGACACAAAATACTAAAAACTGAAAATAATGTAGCCAGTCCTGGTAAAAGCATGAAGGAAAGTTTTTTTGATATTTTTATTTTCATGTTCTTTTTATTACTTTAAGATCATATTATAAATAGATATCAGAAAACCAACCGTATAACGTTGACTTAAATCTATATCTACTACGATATTATATCAGCGTATCGTTTCAAATCTCAAATATCATGAATCGAGAAAATGTACTAGTATCCATCAATATATAGATTCAGAAAATATATAGATTCAATATCCGATATTGATCCTCGATATATAGATACGATTCGATACGCGGCAAAACCGATATTACCCACTCCTACTTCAAATTGACTAGATGAGTCCAACGCTCCTTGACGTAACGTATTCGCCAAATCATAGTGCCTTTCGATAGCAGTGTGAAAATTTAAAAGTATTAAAAAATCGAGTGATTCAGATGTGGCATTGTATAAGCATGGGTATTTTCTAACTATTTATATCATTTTTTCGGGCATTATCTAGTATTTTAATACACATTCACTCGGACGCTAAAATAAAATTTGTAAAAAATTACAACGCCTGACGCAAAGCGTCCTAACGCCGCGACAGAGCGCTGCGTACTTATAGCGCTGGGGCTCTGTTTGACGGTATATTACCCTAGTAGTACAACACATCTCGGCGTCATAGCGCGCCGTCAGTTTAGCGCCCTGACGCGCGCTAATTACGCGTTCTGTTTGACGAAGGCTTTAGGTTATCACTTCTGTCGGGCGTGCTGAGACGCACATGTTTTTTTTTTTTGCTATATAATATTATTCCAATATTATTTCTTACCAAAATGGATACGACTCGTCTCCGCTCCTATTTAGTTTAATTATTAATTAATTAAAGACATCCCCAGGTCGCCACGCCGACCCAGGAAATGTCTTTAATTTAGCCTTATTTGCTTGCTTCGGTGAGTTCCTGCACTGGATCAGAGCCGAGCCGACGGCAGAGTGCCACCATTGTGATTGCGACTTGGACACGGCAGAGCACAGGCTCGTCGCCTGCCTCGCATGGGAGGGGTGGCGCTGTGTCCTCGTCGCAAAAATAGGAAACGACTTGTCGTTGCCGAGTGTTGTGGCATCGATGCTCGGCGACGACGAGTCGTGGAAGGCGATGCTCGACTTCTGCGAGTGCACCATCTCGCAGAAGGAGGCGGCGGGGCGCGTTAGAGACGCACAAGCCCGCCGCCGTCGAGCAGGGGCCAGGGAGGCGGATGTCGCCCAAGCTCTGGCCCTCTAAGAGTTTCGGGTCCCCCTCACATGTCGGTCTGAGGACCGGCCAGGGAGACCTAAGAAGACGATGTGCAAGCTGCTCTGCACGCGTTTTACGCAAGAGCATCCGGGTGATGGAAGGCTGGCTATCCTCGACCCACGCTGGTTCTGACCCAGCGGTGTATTCCGTAGGATAAGTTACTCTAACCGGCGCCATCTAGGCGGGCTCCGGATAGCCTGCCGACTGAGGGAGCTGGTGGTCGTGGTGATCGTGGCGCCGACGACCGCCAGTCCGGCGTCCCGAGGGGCAGGGTGATGGGAGAGATGTGCTCCGCACTATGCACTTCACTTTCCCCCCTTTGTCTTTTCATGAGTTCTGTCTCATGTGAGGTTTGGACGTTTGTTGTTGAGCGACAGGAGGTTTTAGTCGGTTCGACTCCGACATGCTCCGCCCGCCGTCCCTAGTGGAGGGCGGAAGTCCGGCGATTTTCTCCTGACCAAAAAAAAAGCCTTATTTGCTGATGACACGACAGTTTAATACTCGAGTAGAAACAGGTCCCTAATCGCGAAGAAACTTTACAGCGCAGCCTTACCTTAGACAGTGGTTCTGTGGTGGTGCTATTTAAAAAGGAGAAACCCCACATGGACTTCTTCCTCGATTAGGAGGACTCTCACACCCCCGATTACCCTCTTCAGTCAACCCATACCCTGGGCCAGGGATATCAAGTACCTGGGAGTCACCCTGGATGCATCCACGACATTCCGCCCGCATACAAAATCAGTCTGCGACCGCGCCGTGTTTATTCTCGGCCGTCTTTACCCCGTGATCTGTAAGCGGAGTAAAATTTCCCTTCGGAACAGCTTTACAACGCTTGCATAAGGCCCGTCATAACTTACGCGAGTGTGGTGTTCGCTCACACGGCCCGCACACACATCGATACCCTCCAATCCTACGATCCCGCTTTTTCACGTTAGGCAGAGCTCCGTGGTTCCTGAGAAACGTCAACTTCCACGACGACTTGGGCCTTGAATCAATCCGAAAACACATGGAGTCAGCGTCGGAACGGTACTTTGATAAGGTTATGCATCATGATAATTACTTTATCGTTGCCGCTGCTGACTAGTCCCTGAATCCTGATCACGCAGGATCGTCGACGCCATAGACTCGTGCCCTAGATCCAATAACCTTGCATTAGACGCCTTTTTTTTTATTGCTTAGATAAGTGGACGAGCTCACAGCCCACCTGGTGTCAAGTGGTTACTGGAGCCCATAGACATCCACAACGTAAATGCGCCACCCACCTTGAGATATAAGTTCTAAGGTCTCAAGTATAGTTACAATGGCTGTCCCACCCTTCAAACCGAAACACATTACTACTTCACGGCAGAAATAGGCAGGGTGGTGGTACCCACCCGCGCGGACTCCCAAGAGGTCCTACCACCAGTAATTACGCAAATTATAATTTTTCGGGTTTCATTTTTTATTACACGATGTTCTTCCTTCACCGTGGAAATCAATCGTGAACATTTGTTGAGTACGTATTTCATTAGAAAAATTGGTACCCGCCTGCGGGATTCGAACACCGGTGCATCGCTCAACACGAATGCATCGCACATCTTATCCGTTAGGCCACGACGACTTTGCCTCTAACACTAGGAGCAGGCTTAGGGACCGGGAACCATACTCGTCGAACTCGGCAACGAATTCGACGTGCAACTTAATCTAAGCATCAGCTCGCTAAGTTTCTCGCAGGATCTTCTCAGCGGGTTGCGATTCCGATCTGGTAATAGATTAATTCGCGAAGCAGCTGCTGTTGAGTTGATAGATATTCTTTGGA